GCTTGTGAGAATTTTTGTTAACTAGAGATAAATTACTTTATGTGATTAGGCGGAGGCTAGATCAGTATTTAGAGTCCGAGACTTTTTGGGATTTACCGAGGTGAGTCTTCTCAATATATTTTACCTTGAGTGGTTTCTATGTGCAAACCGGAAGGTCTTTATGTGTATGTGTATGTTTGAGATTTATGTGTTATATGTTATATAGACCGGACCAGAGGGTCCATCGACTTATGAGGCTAGAGGGTCGTCGATTAGACCGGGCCGGAGTTTCCAACGAGCTAGACCGGACCAGAGGGTCCAACGAGCTATGGGACTGGAGGGTCTTGCTAAGACACTTTCACCAGACAGTCATACCGAGTTATAGCCTCGAGTGGCTTATGTGCTGTATGTGGTATTTTGGGAAGTCACTAAGCATTTATGCTTACCGTGTTATGTGTTTCAGGTACCAACGAGGATCGCGGGAAGGCGCCAACATAATCTATACACACTGATGGAGTATTATGTATTTGAGATTCTGGGATATGTTTTATTGAGTTAACATTTGATACATTTGTGATTTGGGAATATTTTAAGATAATTATTATGTTTGAAAAATGAAAATTTGTTTTGAAAATTTACGTCGTTACAGTGCATGAGTGCAAAAGTGACTTGTATGATCATTTACAAAATTTAACAAAATTATCTTAGTAATTTTCATATTTATATCTTGAATAAATAATACCCTTTATGTTTCTAACATTAATTATTAAAGTTTATGATCCAATTTGTAAAACAAATAAATGGTTAGATGACCTTTATTCTATTTCTTTAATTCAACCAAGTAGATAATGATTATCAATTATATTATAATATATAATTCATAGTGACATGATATTGCTAACAAATTTTGTTAATTGATTTGTTTGATCACATCTATGCCTCATATCTCTTTTGCTTAGGTGGCCATTACAACAATGTAAAACTGAAGTAGAAATAATGACATCAAATTTTTATGAAATGATTGGATTAAAAAAAATTACAAGAATCATCAATAATGTATACATAATTAAAACATAAAACTATCATTTTATCATTTAGGATTTGGTGGTATTGAATGATGTTGTTAATGCTAGTATAACATAATAAGGAAACATAGAAATAGATCCGTATACTAAAAATACGGTTGAAAGATATAGTTCACAAATCTTAAAATATGTTGATATAAGGAGGTGTAATAATGATACATGGACATCATAAATGTAAAAGATATTTAAATAATATTAACAAAATAAATGTATATTTTTTTAACAATGCAATGTATACATGCCCAAATACAGTTTAGATATAGAGTTTACTATTTTAAACAGAATGTGAACAACAATACATAATATAACATCATATTTTAAAATAATATTATATGTCACACCCTCGATCGGTGGTGAAAACACTTAGCCGTGACAATGACACGTTTGATTATCCGAATCATAGAGCATAAAAAGAACAATATAATTTATTCTTACATAAAAAGATCTAACTAGTTCCATGCTTATTGTCTTCATTTGTAACAATTTTCTCTTCATTTCGGCTTCCTAGGAATACATGGGTTTTGAAAATGGTCAACATGATGTTGGCGAGTACAAAGGTTTTGTAACTGTTAAAAACATTCACTGGTATAGGATCTTTGCTTATGAATATAGAGGTTTCCGAATTTTTTCGAACGTACACTATAAGTTTCTAGGGATTATTTTCTTTCTCTATTCTAATTCGTAACCTACTATATTTTCATTTAATGTTTGGTTTGCTTCTTCTGTCTTACCGGAAGAGATTTGATTTATTCACTTGATTAGTTTCAAGGAGTTATTATATATGATACTTAGGAAAGTATCAATCTTTGCATTTGAACATATAGTTTATATTTTAGGTTTCTTAGGATAATTTACATCTTCCATACTTATCCTATAACTTTTCCTTTATAGTTTTATTATCTTTGTGTATTTCAACTACTTCCTAGTCATTCTCCTCTAAGTAGTTTAATTTATTAAGGTTGGTGGGTAATGTTACAATAAGTCCCTATAACCGAGCTATATAACTTGAAATTTCCCTGCCACGGTGCTTAATTTGACATCGTGAAAATGACTACAAAGTTATGTCTATACATACCTTTAACGCACACTTACGACTAACAGATTATAGGCCCGGGTTAGCCGAATATCAATCAGCTATGGATTAATAATACGCCTCATTTAACACTTACTTTGTTAACCCTTAATAAGTATGCTTATTTAATCTTTGTTATCCTTTCTTTAGTTTTTCCTTTAATATACCTTACAAAGTATATATATATATATATATATATATATATATATATATATATATATATATATATATACACACACACACATACATACACACACATATACACACACATACACACACACACTTAATCTTATATATATATATATATATATATATATATATATATATATATATATATATATATATTACTAATTTTCTTTTTGTAGATATTCTTTGATAAGTTATGTACAGTTAAATACATTGCATATCCTTATGTTTCCTTTTGATATATTTTATTCCATAATTATTGTGATATATATATATATATATATATATATATATATATATATATATATATATATATTACCATATCTATAAAATAATTATTAGGTTCTTGATATTCTTAGGATAATAGGGCAAAGTACGACTAGGTACAATGCTTAGCCTTAAATTTGGCCAGCATAACGACTAGAAACTAGGTTATTCTAGGGAATAGGCCAACATAACAAATATGTATAATCGTTGAGTATAATCTTAGGTATTACAATGACTAGGCATAATATCATATTTAAAGCTTAAGCAAGGTGACTACCAGGCATAATATTATCCCAACGTTTACATGTAGTTTCAAAACTATTGATATATTACAAGTAATAATCTTTTTTTAAAAATCATTGAAATAGTTTTATAGCATGTATCCCCCCTCCCACATAAAACATTTGAAAATGGTAAAATTTGGATCGTAAAACTCACTCAACGTGATTCGACATACTCAAGTTTTCGCATCAGGAACTTCCATCCATCTTGAGATTTGGAGAGGGCTCCAGACCGATTTAGAGAGAAAGATAAAAAGTTAGATGTGTGAAGAATTGGAGAAGTGAAGGCCTGTATTTATATTGTCGATTTTTAGTATGCGCACGACCCAAATATCTATGCGCAACATGCATGGGCTTCGTGGCTCCATTCAAAAGCTTAGCATGCACAAATTTCTTGGTGGTCTATTTCTTTCGTTTCTCGATGAATCTGCGTGTCAGATGTGCACACCGAGCAAGGAGTGTACCTCACGTGCAAAAAATGATTTTGTAAAAATCATATCTTCCGTACGAACTCTAATCTTTACCCTTTTTATATCTATGGTATGGTCTTAACTAGTACTACAACTTTTCTTTAGGTTGTTTCGGCTAGTTTTTATTCCGTAGTTATTCCGTAGCTAATTAGCTACGGAATGGCTACGGAATACGTACGGATTAGCTACGAAGTATGCTTTCCGTAGCATATTCGCTCCGTTTTTACACACCTCTATTATACATGATTATCTATATTTTCACAAACTTATAGCAATTAATATCATTCATAAAGTCGTGTGCACATACAGGATCCATTACTCGTTTACTGGTTTAACACTATAATGCTTATGAATATGTTCACATACATCTCACAAACATCTATACCTACATCATCATCATCATCATCATCATCATCATCATCACCATCATCATCATTAGCATCATCATGATCATCACCATCACCATCATCACCATCACCATCACTACCACTACCACCACCACCATCATCATGATCATCACCACCACCACCACCACCATCATCATCATCATCATAATCATCATCACCACCATCATCATCACCATCACCATCACCATCACCATCACCATCACCATCACCACCATCACCATCACCATCATCACCATCACCATCACCATCACCACCATCACCACCACCACAACCACCATCACCACCATCACCATCTCCATCTCCATCACCATCACCATCACCATCACCATCACCATCACCATCACAATCACCACCATCACCATCACCATCACCATCATCACCATCACCATCACCATCACTATCACCATCACCATCACCATCACCATCACCATCACCACCATCATCATCACCACCATCACCATCCCCAACATCACACCACCATCATTATCACCACTACCACCACCACCACCACCACCATCATCATCATCACCATCACACCACCATCATCATCACCACCATCACCATCACACCACCATCATCTTCACCACCATCACCATCACCACCATCATCACTACCATCATCACACCACCATAATCATCACCATCACCATCACCATCACTATCACCATCACCATCACCATCACCATCACCATCACCATCACCATCACCATCACCATCACCATCATCATCACCATCACTATCACCATCACCACCATCACCATCACCATCACCATCACCATCACCACTATCACCATCATCAACACCATCAACACCATCACCACCACCACCATTACAACACCATCATCACCACCACCATCAACATCAGCATCACCACCACCATCACACCATCATCATCATCATCAACATCACTATCACCATCACCATCACCATCACCACCACCACCATCATTATCACCACCATCACCATCACCATCACCACCACGACCACTATCACCATCACCATCACCATCATCACCATCACCATCACCATCACATTCACCATCACTATCACCATCACTATTATCATCAACACCATCACCATCACTGTTACCATACTACCACCACCATCACACTATTGATGGTCATTATCATCATCATCATCATCATCATCCTCGTCGTCATCATTTATGCGTTAGTTTGGTGTGTATGGTTATGTGTATGTGTATATGTATGTACTCGTGTATGTGTATCTACATATATATGAAAATAACAAAATAATTTGTTATCGAAAGTGTAACCATTATACATACAGACACATACATGTATACATGATTATCTAAACTTTCACCAACTTATAGTTATTAATATCATTCATAAAGTCGTGTACACCTTCGGGATCTATTACTCATTTGATGGTTTAACATTGTAATGCATATGTATGTATGTATGTATGTATGTATGTATGTATGTATGTCTATATGTGTATGTATGTGAGAATGTATATCTATCTGTATGTGTGTATTTAAATGTATATGTATATTTATATGGTTATGTGTATGTGTATATGTATGTACTCGTGTATGTGTATCTACATGTATTTAAAAATCACAAAATAATAATAATAATAATAATAATAATAATAATGATAATAATAATAATAATAATAATAATAATAATAATAATAATAATAACTATAAACGGTTGTGGAAGTGGTTAAAAGTAATAGTGGAAAATGTTAATATAGATGTGGCATTCCCAGCTGATTGGTAGATTTGTTGGTTATGTATGGAAAATACCCGAGTTCGAGTCCTACCACCCTAGTTTTTTTTTTTTTTTTTTTTTTTTTTTTTTTTTTGCCTTGTTCAGTTTAAGGTTTCATATTATTTTTGTACACCTCCGCCTCCATTTTAGCGATCGACTCCTATGCTCCTCGCTTTTGTCTTCCCCCCTTCGTCTTCTGTGAACGCTACCCAAAACCACCCCTCGTTGCTCATCCCTTCTCCGGCTCGTTCACCCCTTTTCCGACATTCCTTCCCTCTCCGACAACATAGCTCCTCCGGCATAACCCCTCTTTGCTCGATTTCTTCTCCTACAAAGGTAAACCCTATATTTATTCTTTTCTTAATTTGAAGAATGTAATGTAGATGCTTAATCATTTGCTCGATTTCTTCTAGGGTTTAATAGGCGTCCCGTCTCACATCTCCCATGAATGGTCGTCATTATTGGCAACCGTCGTCGGTTCAGTTTGTCGCCGACGCCACCACCCACTAAAGAAGTCGGTTATCACCGGTTTAGCATGAAGCACCGTCGACCTGGCCACTGTATCTATCCCACGACCATTCTCCACCATATCTGCTTCAACTGTCGTCTCCCTCTATTCTTATTTTCCCGCTTTCTTTGATGAATGTAAGCCCTAATCTTTTTGGTATCAATCTAGGAATCAAATTACTCCTTGGTATTTCAGTTTCTTTGACATGATTTATTGAAATATTTATTAAGTTAATTGTGTATTTATTGTTTATATACGTTTCTTTTGTTAGGAGTGGATATTTTGTTTATATCTATTTTTTCTGTTACAGGTTGAAAATGGAAAAGATGCTACAATAGTGGCTTGAGATCTGTAGATGTTGATTTAAAAGATTATGTTAACATCCTTTTTATTTTATTTGTAGAGGAGATAAAAAATCAAGTTATTGAGCTATGAGTTTATATTTAGAAGCATCAAATTCGAATCGTAGATATGAAAAGAGAGGAATTTGATGTTCTTAGGGTTGTTCAAGTTGTAGGTTGCATAAAATGCTTATTGTGAATCAAGTATCAACACACCACCATGTCGTTTGTGGGTTGCATAAATTCTAGAAAATGATTGCTTTTAAATCCAACTTATGTTTATGGTCTATTATTACTTAAGTTGATTTTTTCCTGCAAGTTTATGCTTATGGAATAGTTTAGGTTTCATGTATAGGTACAATATATATTGTTTCACATATAGCCAATTGGGTAACTTGCAACTAAATTTGCTTAAGTGGTTGGAAAGAAAAGCATAGTCCAAGGACTCTATTTGCATTTGGGTAAGATCAAGTAAACTTTTCTGTAACTACTATGCATCTATGAGTTAGGTTTTCACTAATATATTGCTCAATAGCCTTTGGTCATGCTATTATTTTATGATTTTTGCAATTACCATGAACTACTTTATATTCAGTATATTTTACCTCTTAAATGCAAGATATACATGATTATTATAACAACTTACTTATAGCGTTGTACTTTCAAAAATGTTTACAATTATGGCTTTAATAAACAAATAAATAAATGTACATTGCTCTATTTGTATTTTTTTGTGATCATTGATTATGGTGTGTTGAAACAAGAACAATTGGAGATATTTGATTAAAAACTCAAATTAAAGAACACTTGTCGGCATTTATCGATTCAACTTACCCAATAATTTACCAAGTAACCCACCAAATAATTCTCAATTTTATGTTTGTAAGCATTTAGTTAAACATTTGTAGTTGATACTTTTAATGTGTATTATTAGACACATTTAATGTATTATTAGACAATATTCATTAGTAATATGTATTTGTATTTGATATTTTTTTAGGTTTATTAGTTTTATTATAATGTTATTTGTTTTGTGGTTGTTATAAGTTTAATGTAATGAGTTTTTTCAATAATTTGAACATAAAAAACAAGATTTTTTCAATAATTATTTGCTGTTTTTTTTTTTTAAACTAAAAATAATTACCTACGAAAATACATAGGTAATGTGAGCCGTAGAAATTCTGTAGGTAATAAAGTCAATGGTAGTCAAAGTGGGCTCCGTCGGTAATCCGTAGGAAATCCATAGTTATGTATGTCCGTAGCTATTCCGTAGGTACTATACCTACGAAAAAAACCGTAGCTATTCTGTAGCTAGTCTGTAGCAATTCCGTAGGTATAAATTTCCCACGGGCATTTATGCTACAGAGCATTTTCCGTAGTAAATCCATAGGTATCGCTTTATAACTACTGAATAGCTATGGATTATGCCGTAGCTGTTGCCCTAGTTTTCTAGTAGTGTATTTTGGATAATTTTACCAAGAGTCATGTCGAGCTCTTATGATCCAAGCTCTATGTTGAATGTAACCCCGTAGTTTTTATTTAATTTATTTATTATTATTATTATTATTGTTATTATTATTTTTTTTTTTTTGGGGGGGGGGGGGGGGGGGAGGAGGAGGAGGAGGAGGGGGGGGGGGGGGGGGGTTGATAAGGCATAAATTTTTCAAGATTATAATTAGTCTCTTTTATTTGTTGTATATAATTTAGCCTTAGATCTACCTTGTATATATATCCCATTGTAATTATCTATAAATATATAGAAATCTGCCTTCACCGTATTGAGGTGATTGACATGATACAATCACATAAAGGGGCCAAGAGAAAAGCTAGTACAAATTTATTGTCAAACTTTATGTTGAAACTTTTCTTCAATGGGAAAAAAATTAATACATCAAAAAAGTTGCATTTTTTGCAACTAAAGCTATTTTTGCTTTGTGTAACTTCACCAACCAATCACCTCAATACGACTCGGTTTATTTTATGGCACACACGTACGGGTAAATGTTCTAAACATAATTGACAGAAACATGATTATATGTTCATGACGTATAAAACATGGTTAATTATAACTTATAAGTTCATGTATATAATTAATACATTATACATACTTGTGCATTGTGCGCCATTAAATTTTTAAAATTAAAATGCATACTGAGAAAGGGGGATCCAAAGGAGAGAAAAAGAAAGCAAAAGGGAAAGATATTCCTTTTATCTTTAGTGGTCAGAAGAGGTATCAGAAGCAGAAGAAGTGGAAGGATACTTGATTGATTGCAACGTTTAGAACCAACCTTTTCTAGTATTGTTTTTCTATCACCAATGCTTCCCTTTCATCGAATCTCACAAAGGAAACGTTTTCGTTTCCTTGTCTTTGTCTTTCATGGCTGGCATCTAGAGATCTTCCAGAAATAAACAAGTAAAATGACTTTTGCAGAATAGATTAATATTTTGAGATCATAACCTTAATCACAAAGATATGATCATCATGATGATGATGATCATGACCATCTTTATAGTTTTTTCTTTCTTCTTTTTTTTTTTTTTCGTAGATCGTACAACTTTTTTAAGCAAATGATTTAAATCTTGAAAATAGATATTAGTGATAATTAGGAGAATCTAATTTCAAACTAGTACTTTGTCAGATTCTAAACTAAATTACTCACTACAAATTTATTTAAAAAAAAAAGGAAGTATCTCTATGTTTAGATTTTTCTCTAATCATGCATTATGGCGGATTCTTACATGTTGACAATTTTTTCTTAAAAAAAAAACCTTGTTTTCAATCAAAAGAATCACATAAATAAACATTCAAATTTAAGTTTCTGGGAAACTAGAACTTAGAAATCAGGATCAATTCTTGACAATTTAACAGTCAATTCTGATTTTTGGGAAAGATAACATGTCATCACTGTAAACACGTGAACAACATTGCAATTTTAAGAAGACAAAATCAAGAAATCGAATTAGTCAGAAATTACAATTCATGATAATCTTGTGACTCGTGAGGAACTCTTCACTTCCATTTATTGTGAAACTAGAAACAAGTAAAAAAACAAAAAAAGAGAAATCGTGAGATTTAAATTAATTTGGACTCTAGTATTTTAACACAAAGCTTCTCTGATTTGTAAAGAAAAATATGACAATATGAGTGACACCTTCATCAGCGATAGTTAACTAAAACGTTCAGATATCAAAACCGCAGACGCAAAAAGATAAGAAGAAATCAACAAATCATGTCCCAACTTCAATATATCATCACGACCAGATAAACTAACGAATAACAGGCTTTGATTAGTAACTAAAAACAGTCTAATGAACTTTATAAGTTCAAAAAAGTAAGAAAAAAAAAAAAAATTAACAATCAACAAGGAGAAGGAGGCATGAGTTTCAACCCTAAATCATCCTTTTCAAGAATCAATCTTGCTTTGTGAGTCTCCACCATTGTATTAGCACTTCCGTACTCTGGGTGCACTCTCTTCTTCGACAACGGAACTCCAAAAAGCTTCGTTCTTGCAGCGTTGTTTACTGTATCTTGATCTCTTACAATGTTTCTGATTGTCGAATCATAAAGCTCCAGCTGGTGAGGTTGACTAGGGTACACAACCGTTGCATTCGCGTTATTGAAAAAAGACGTCGTTTGCTGCTGCTTTTGCACCATTAATGGGTTGTTTGTTGAAGGTAAGAGAAGAGATGAAGGGTATGTGTTACTTGGTGTCACCGGTTTCACGTGGTTTTGTACGAAGTAGATAACATCGTTGTAAAGCTTTCGCATGTGTGCGAGTTCGGACATCAGCATGTTATTGCTTCTCCGAAGCCTCTCGTTATCCTCTGATAACGCTGTCACGGAGTTACCTCTAATGTTGCTAGAAATACCGTTGTTCGGAAAGATTCCGAAAATCGTAGCTGCTGTTGTTGCGGAGGCGGTGGTGGTTGGTGAAGATAGAGGTGGTGGGGAGTCACAGTATAGGTGGTCGTCGGAGTTTGGTGGGGAGATGCTGTCGCGTGTAGATGGATAAGAAAAGAAGCCATTTCCTCCTCCGTTAATGCCCGTGAAATGGTGGTGGTTTAACCCAACGTGCGGCTGTGATGTTTTCCGGCGGTGGATCTCACACAACATATGTTTTTCTCCTTTCTTGAAGAACTCATTCGCAAACTCCCATCTGTCTGGGACGATTTTTCTAAAACCCTAATCATCATAAACAAAAACACAAACACAAACACAAAATCAGTATATATCCACGAATTGAAGATAAACACTGAGATAATTAATGAAACAAATCAAAGAGATAGTTACATACATAGGTGTTGAGTTGGCGAACGAAGGAGGAGAAGTTGTTGTGTTTGAAGTAATTCGGAAGAAGATCGCGAGCGAATTCCGGCGGCCGCCAGACGACGAAGGTTGCGTCGTCTTCACCCCATGAAACGATATGATCAGTTGAAGGATCATCAACCAATTGGTAGGTTTTAGTGAGGAAAGGAGCAGGCATTGATTTGTGGGACTCTAGTGATAATAATATCCCTTCACATGAGTTATCTATCATCGACGCCATGACAATCGTACCTTCTTTCAAATCTTCTGGGTGTTTCTACTTATGATCCTAGAGAGAGAAAGAAAGAGACAGAGAGAGAGAGAGAAAGATGAGGGTTGGTGGAAGAGGGGTATGAAACGGGAGTTCAAATCTTGACATTTAGTACACCTTTTTAAACACACAAAAAAAAACTATTAAACTAAATCTTAACCAAGATTAACAAAAAAAAGTTTAGACATATATGGCTGAAAACAATGTTATTAATAATGTTTAAGAAATAGGAATTAAACAAAACACAAACGAAAGCATACAAGTTCACTTTAGTTCGCCGACCAGATTGTGTTGTGGATTAACTTTAGAGTAAATTTATATGGGAAAAAGGGGATCTAAAAGTATGTATATTACTGATGGTGATACTTGTGGTAATATAGTTATACTACTATCTAGAGAGAGAGCCTCGAATATATATGTAGAGAGAGAAGGAATAGAGAATATGTGTCTGTCTAGGAACCTGTGAAAAATAAGAGCTTTTCAAGACAAACCCGTGACACGTTACAATCTTTATCTCTCACACACTCACACACACAGACTTTTAATTTTTAACATGCAATTTGATACTGGGTTTTAGGTGAGATCAGTAGAATATACTTGTAGTAGCAAATTAAGTGTCGATGGAACTTGAAGCCCCACCCCACGCACAGCCACATGTACGCAAATTGAAGGTGACAACCCCCTATTTACTCTCTTTATGTGCTACTGATTTTTTATCCTCCTTTTTGGGCAATCTTAAAATTTCCCATTCCTCTTTCTTTTTCCATATATTCATACGTCTTTTGTCAAATTGGCACTCTTTTTTTCATGTTTTTAATGTTATGGAGCAGTCAATTTATACGTGTTGTTCAACTTTTGCTACACGTAGTATGCTTTGTGGCTATTTTTAAGTTTGAAACATTATGTTAGTCCATTAAATGGAAACGAGATAAATAAAGTAACAATTTTAAAACTATTGTTCGAAATAACCGTAAAAATATAGTTTTTTTTTTTTTTTTCTAAGAAAACAGTTCAAGGAAAAACAATTCATTTTTAACTAGAACAAATGGACAGTATATGTGTATATATATACGTCAAAAAAGGAATAGAGAAATGGGAAAAGGTTCTCTATCGTCGAACAGAGCGTCCTTTCTCTTTCCATTTTGTAGGTTTCCCATTGTTGTTTTATGGTACCAACTCGAACACGTACATTCTCTCTCCATCTAAAATGGAATCATTTTTACTACTGAGCTATACTGACTATCACACATAAACACTCCCAGAGTGTTTTGTTCTCTATCTATTTATAAATGATATATAATAGAGGTGCAAGGATGCATGGATCTTTGTGATGGTTTTTTGTTGAAGCTTCCGTATATATTTTGTACATGTATAAAGTTCAAGTGACGAAATATATAGTTCTCTTCTTCGTGTCTTATTTTTTCTTCTTCTACTTGCTAGTTGCTTCCTTTATACATTAATTCTCTAACTTCAACGTAATTTCTTGCACTTGGACATACTATGTAATTATTTTCTTATCATGCCTTTACGGTTATATATATATATATATGAGAGAGAGAGAGAGAGAGAGATATTCAAATGAGAACCTAAGAACCATAAGAACCCAATTAATTAATTAATATTTAAACGAAACTCTTATTAAACATGTTAAAATCCTAATTTTTTGTATGAAAAGAGCATACTTATAATTTTTTACAGTTTAATAATTTCATCCGTATATGCTCTAATATTTTAACATAAAACTTATATAAAATTCAGATTTACACAATTTAATGCAAACAAATCATAACTGAATACAAACTGTTTTACAATAATTCACTAATTCAAAAAAGTCAAAAACTCAAACTTTACCACCACATGTTATCACCAACCACGTGTATCAACATAGTATCTGTCATTTCTTCCAAATCAGATATATAAAAAAAAAGTCATGCATTAACAACGTAAATACTACATTTACAGTCTAATTGTAACGATCCAATTTTTTTAAAAGGAATTTTTCATTTTTGATTAACCAAAATACTTTCAACAAGCCATGAAATCCCAAATACAATTCTCTTTAAAATCCATAAGAAAACGCATGAGGGAGTGCACGTTGTGCTATCAAGCCTTGCCCTTGCCCTTGGCCTCAGATATACCTGAAACAAATCCACAAATTGTAAGCTAATGCTTAGTGAGTCCCCAGAGTATACCCCACACACAATCCACATAACACATATCATATTAGCTATAAAAGCTATATATATCACATAAGCCATGCATACAACAAATAAGGATGTTATGGGCTCCTCCCAAGGTCTTACTCTAGGATGCCGTGGGCTCCCCCACTTGGTCTTACACCTAAGTGCCAAGGGCTCCTCTCATGGTCTTTAACTGAAAAGCCATGGGGTCCCCCACATGGTCTTACATCCAGGTACCATGGGCTCCCCCATGGTCTTTACTTAAAAAGCCATGGGCTCCCCCACATGGTCTTACATCCAAGTGCCATGGGCTCTTCCCATGGTCTTCCCTGCAAGTAACACATATAAATAGTAAAGCACTAACATAACTAACTAATGTAACATGTAACTCTACAATAAACAAGTATTCCATATATCACAAAATGGGATGGCCTTGATGCCATCGAACCGTTGGTATGGTGAGGAGACTCCATCTCCCATTCACATGGCTTCTCTACCATCCCACTAAGGGTTTTGCACCCTATGAAGCTCACAAACTCTTGGATATCATCCCTCGACATGCAATGATACCTCGTCCTCCTCATGTCCTCATCGTAAGCATACTGAGGAATCAACAATGCTCGTTCCCGAAACTTAGCAGTGATCTCCACTACAATATCGATGGTTTGCTACAATTCATGAAACTCCCTCATTAGTTGTTGCACCTCGATCGGTGGTGCAAACTCCAGATCAAATCGCCGAAAAAACTCGGCCCATGTCATCTCATCTACACCGACTGCTCCCACCTGACTAGTCACCTCTCCCCACCCGTTTCGGGCTTTGTCTCTTAGTATACACGAAGCAAAACCTACCTTTGCTGCACCAGGGCAAGAACTTTTGCGCTGGACGTTCTCGATATCCACGACCCATTGTCGGCTAACAATGGGGTCCTTGGCCCCAAAAAACTCTGCTGCCCCACACACCTTGCACTCCTGAAATGAGGGAGTTCAGGCCCTGACCTGACCTGCAACAATCTCGGCTCTAAATGCTCTGAGCCTCCCCTCCATAATCTCCATCATGCCCTTCTTAACTATCCCAAAGATAACTTGGGTAGCATCAAGGATGCCCCTCGTAACCTATGCTGCAATGAGCTCATGGAACCTCTCGTCAATAGGCTCAGTAGTGTCGCCTGACCCAGACTCAGATCCTAACCCCAATCCTGATCCTCCTGCTCTAAACTGTGTCACCACCATACTGCTCTGCAATACCATAAAACATAAGGATCATGATGTTCCAAATAGGGGATCTTCCCATACTGGTCCTCCTTAGAGCCTACACGTCTAACATTGGTTCGAGTACAAGTCCTATGCTTTTAGTAGTATAGGCCCAATACTAAATTCCACACCTACCTGTACCTTTCCCAAGGCTATACTTGATAACTCTAGTTCATCCCAAAACAAACCATATCTCATAGGCTACCGTATAACTTAAATCTTAGGTCGTCATAAGATTTTCTCTACCCATATCAATCATAACAGGTTGTCTTTATGCATGAAAATTATACACAGAAAAGGATCAAATAGAGTTTCGAATAATAGATTCTACCCTAGGATCACAGCCATACGAGGAACAGGAGATAAGACCAAATCAATCATTCTAAGGCTATAAGCTCCTAACCGTATACAATTTTAAAAGCATACACATTGCAAAATCCATACGATTATCATAGCTCAAATATCAGTATATCATGGCTAACATATTGAGGAACTACTTACTTGGCTCTGCCGATCATGCACATTGCACTCTCCTCTCTTTCATTCTTTAAAAGTGTTAACTTTCTTTTTATTTTTGAAAACCTTTTTTTTACTATTTCCTTAGTTTGATTCCTGACACACCGGAGAGTGTACCCGAATCCCTCAAACCAAGGCCCAGATATCAACTTGTAATGACCCAATTTTTTTAAAAGAAAATTTCATTTTTGATTAACCAAAATACTTTCTACAAGCCATGAAATCCTAAAAACAATTGTCTTAATAATTCATATTAAGTACAATTTTTATTTCAAATTATCAGAGTGTCCCATAATAAAATGTCTGAGGGAGTGAACGCCACACCATTAAGCCTTTTCCTTACCCTTGGGCTCAGATGTACCAGAAACAAATCCACAAACTGTAAGCTAATGCTTAGCGAGTCCCCCAGAGCATACCCCACATACAATCCACATAACACATATCATATTAGCTATACAAGATACATATATCACATAAGCCATGCATACAACAAATAAGGATGTTGTTGGCTCCTCCCAAGGTCTTACTCCAGGATGCCATGGGTTCCCCCACATGGTCTTACTATTGGAATAGTGTCTAAAGCTGCAACTATATTTGGAAAGTACTTGACCCGATTGAGCATGGTCCTTTTGGGTTGCCTTCACCATAGCAACTTAATAGGATGATTTACAATGAGAGAAGAAATATTATAAGGAATAATAATATTGTTATTTGATTAATATAAGTCATAAATTAATTAGGAATTAATTTGGTGACTTAAAGAGATTAATTAAATAGAAGGGCATAAACTGTCAAGTGTATGATAGTTGTACTTTAGGCTGTAATCCCTTACGGATAAGGGGTGGACGATTTTAGGGGCTTAGGATAGACCTAAAACCCGTCCAAGGCTTATCATGAAGGGGATTAGGATTGCTTAGGGCCTAAGTTATCCAATTAGGGTTTAAAGGTGAAACCCTAGGAGCCTTACAAGTATAAATAGACCCTAGGGGTCATGGAAATCGGCACCTCTTGTCTCTAAAGAAACCCTGGCCGATTTCTTCCTCCCCTCTCTTCCCTCTATAATCATCCTCTTGCTAGTTGGTGTTTGTAAGCCATTAGAGGAGTGAAAATTGTGACTCTAAAGCTCCAAGGACAAGAAGATCAAGCAAATGAATCAAGGTAAACTTATAACTCTGATTTCTCAATGTTATTATGATAAAATAACCATTAGAAGTCTTGGATACAATGCATGTTTAATTAGAGAAACCTAGATCCAAGCATTAGGGTTTGTATGTGCACATAGGAATGTTCATATGGCCAAAACCCATTAGTGGTATCAGAGCCTAGATTGGTTTCTATTGAATTGATGCATTGATTGCTTGTTTGATGCTT